ATAAATTTTCATATTTAGCTAAATCCTACTAGTTTAGGTTATTTTATGTGATGCGGAAGTGTTCTCTTATTTTGAAAAGCTCCTTCAGCTGTGCTTTTTTTAAAACCTCACCGTCAACAATTTCTGTTTTCACACAAAGAATATTTGCACTGACCTTATGAGTAGTTTGTGCGGTCGATGATATACCGAACGAGATTGAATTATTCCGTGATATATCTAACTTTGATGTTGATGTCTAAGTGAAAGTAAACCGTTCCGTCATTTACTTCCTAAACGTGTCCGGACATGCCTAACAAAATTTGACTTTTAAATGGAGCTCATCATCATCTCAGCAGAGCCAATGATTGGATGTTTCCTGCGTGCAGTAGCTCTTATCAGATGCTCTGCACTGAAAGCCGCTGATGCCTGGACATCATGACAGTGTTAAAGACTGAAACTGCTGCTTTGGCTGGAATGAGTGAAAACTTGTGGTTGGAAAAAGCATGTGCTCACCTTATTCCTGCTTTACCATTATGGATCATTGAATATGCATGGACTAAACGGATGATGGAGGTCTTAGAAGGTGTTTCTTGCAGTGTTTTAAATAACCCAAACAAACCTGTTACAACTTGACACTTTCCATCAAATTATGATTTTTACATAAGTATTTCTTGCATATCTTGCCTTGCTTTCAATTAAAAACAGTATAATCTATTAAATCAATCATGCCTTTGCATGTTATTACACAGTTACTATGTTACTTGTTACTTTATTGTCATAAATCAACTGCACAGTTGGTGCAAGTCAATAATAGATCTAACATAAACTATTTTGAAACGAATGCATGGGAATCAACTTTAACCTTTTTCAGCTCTAGGACCCCCATTATGGCTAGAAGGTGACTGGCATCATCTGACCCTTGAAGAGCCGTGCAGAATCCGTGTGGTGGCAGCAGAGGTCTGGAGGATCGTGCAAGCCAGAGACATCAAGCACTTTGAGAGAGTCACTGAGTTTGTGGATGTTACGTACACACTTGTGCCAAGACTAGTGACCCCCATCAAACACATGAAGATCATGTTTGGTCTGCAGACTCTGGTGAGGCATTGTTTTCTTTGATAAAATACATTGGTCAACCCACTAGAAATAGCTTGCAGTTTTGGATAGAGATTTCCATGGGTTTTTCATTATTGTAATTATATATAATAATATAAAAAATAATAATATAACAATAATCATAATAATCACCGCTCTATTAAAGAACATGGAAAGGAAAGAAAAAATACAAACAGATAAACAAAAGACACCTCAATCAGTAAGAAAAATAAAATCTTAGTCCTTCAGAAATTTGTTATTCTTATTTATGAGATTTTACAAAATAGGAAATCCCAACAAGAATGGCGAAGTAAGCAAAATAAAATAATTAAAATAATCTTAATAGCAAAATAAAATAATTAAAATAATCTTAATGTCTCCCAAAGGCAATGTACTCTATCTGATTGCATTGTTAAATTAAATGAAGCAAAGTTCCTTCCTTAATTTGATAGAATACACAAGTTTAATTGTGCGAGTGTGAATTTGTTTGGCATTACATGACTACTTTACGATTCATGAACTTTTTTATTTTTTAGGTTATCATGTGGATGTTGTGGAATGACCAGAGCACTGCTAAAATCTCTGACAAGATTGAAAACTTTTTCCCTAAAAGCCTTCCGGAGTATCACAAATGTGTAAGTATGATCTCCTTCCACCAGGGGCCACCGTAAATACATGAAAAGCCAAAGTAATTTTTAAATGTACTATATGATGCATGGGTTCTTGTTGAAGTGTATTAAGTTAATATCTGACTATGTGTCATTACTGTATTGTATTGTCTGCATTGACACAAATAATGCTTTAAAATAGAAAATATATTTTAGGACTGCTGAGCTTTTTAACACTTTCCCTTTCTTTCCTTTCGTTTAAATCATGCTTCTATATAGAGCCGCAGGAACATGGATCTCATGCAGAAAAACCAGGAAGATTTCAAGGCCTTTGCTCATGTTCTGGCCAGAGACAGGGATATGCGTGAGACTTACATTCGGGTTAGTGAAAAAAAAAAAAAAACTTTGCATGGTACATTACTTATATCAGCACTAATTTGCATCAGTTCCAGATCCTCAAATCAAATGTGACTATTTAACTTTGTAGGATTTAATGGAGGAGCAATATGGTGAACGCTATGCACAGAAACTGGAGGAGAGACTTGTACACTATTTGGGAGAGCTAGATAAAGTCCTGCCACAACCAACGTGTATTGAACAGGTAAGTGTTTATGTGCTTTTGTGTCTAAAGTAGCTGCATTTTCTGTTTAGTTGTGCTTTTTAAAAAAGGCATTACTATTTTTTTTGTGCTTTTATTTTTCTAAACAAAAAGACTGTTTAAAAAAATACTAAAATGAATAGCACAACAGTTTTTTTCTGACAGACGATAAAACAGCTGAAAAAATTCCAACAACTAAATACACATAAATATATTGGCTAAATATCTAGTCAGAGTCCCCACAGGGCCTTAAAATGTTTTACATTAAGTTTGATCAAAAATAAGGTCGTCAAAAATTCACTGTAAACTATGGAAACAAAAAAAATAATAATAATTGTATCAGCACAATAAACTGTTTATTGCCTTTCTTTAAACACATTTTCATATATATTCACACTAGTATTGATATGTTATTCTGTTCTATCCTCATCTGTGTGCAGGTACTGAAGCAGTCCCATTCATATGGGAGAGGAGAGAAGATCCTAAAAAAATTACTTTCAAGGGATAGTGCATCTCTAGCCACAGTTCTGAAGAGACTCCTGCATTGCGGTAAGAAACATGATTTTGTCTCTGAATTTGCCATAACAGCTTTGAAATTACAGACATTGGCTTCGTTTACATGCACACAAATAATCCATTAGTAATCGGATTGAAGGCACAATCGGCAGTTTTTTACAGCGTGATAAACATAAGCAGCATAGTATGGTGGTTTTATGCAATATTTATCCAGAAATGGACAACTATTAATTCTTCTTTTTAAAGGGGTCATATGATGCTGCTAAAAAGAACATTATTTTGTGTATTTGGTGTAATGAAATGTGTTTATGCGGTTTAAAGTTAAAAAAACACATTATTTTCCACATACTGTACATTATTGTTTCTCCTCTATGCCCCGCCTTTTTGAAACGCGTCGATTTTTACAAAACTAATCGGTCTGAAAAGCGAGGTGTGCTCTGATTAGCCAGCTATCCAGTGCGTTGTGATTAGCCGAATACCTCAAGCGTGAACTCTTAACTTTTATAAAGAATATCTCTTTGGATTTGAGACTTTAGTCTTTGCAACTTTACAGATCTTCTTTATGCACCAAGAGCTTGTAACACTCTAAAGAGAAAGGAAAAAATGAAATCGCATCATATGACCCCTTTAAAACAAATACAGAAACAGTGTAGGAGAATCATTATTATGTGCAAACATCAGGAAACTGAACAAAAAATCAATTCTGATTTGAAGCTTGTGACATATAAATGCACACATCAACTCGATCACTATATTTAGCGTTCATGTAAGCACTACATTCAGATTCATTAATCAGAATGAATTCAGTTCGATTGAAACAAAGGTTGTACATGTAAACATAGCCATTCTTTATTTTCATCTTCATTTTCTCTATTTGACAGCTGTAACAACAAATCAGAGCCTTGACGAAAGTCTCTCACCATCACTTTCAAACACTTGTGAGGTACAAAGGGACGCTGAAGTTGTTAAACCATCCAATGGTACTCTCCGTGTATTTTTGAGGTCATCTCAGAACAGCACAAAGGAGAATCGACTCTCACAAACCAGCACAAAAGAGCTGTTTAGTTCTCAGGGCTTGTGGCAGAATAGAAACACAGAAACTATTTCACCTCAGGAGAAGATTTGTGATGATGGAGTAATTGTTACGTCTACGCAGTTGTCAGATTCTGAAATAGATCAGATTGACTTCAGCCAGTCTCTTCTGGTGGAGAAGGACCTGGTTGGGAGGCACAGACAGAAGAAAACTCAATCTGAGCCAGAACAGAAGGAAAGTCAGACTGATTTTCCAGAGCAGATCTGCTCCAGACATGGCAAAAAAATGAGGAGCATCCTTCAGGAATGTTCTGAAGAGCTTGATGGAGGAGTCGTACAAGCAGAATGCACTCCCACATCAACCCAGAGCACACCACCTCTTCTCCCGTACACACCACAACCTCAAGCATCTCCAAACCAGCACTCATTGTCCTCTAACCCAGATTCATCCTCTACGAACATTTCACAGTCCTACATCCAGCAGGTCAGTCTTTCACCAGTGTCCTCAAAGAATCCAGTTGCTCCTTCACCTTCAGTTCTCCAACAGTCCTCCTCATCATCTCAGTCCACAGCCTCAAAGCAACTCGCAATCAATGCAGGACAGATTTTAGCTACCGTTGTCTTCACCGAACCAAGCAGAACTGATGAACACAATCTGACACTGTCCTTAGAGAGTCAAAGCTTCCTAATGCAGTCCAAGTGGCTTCAACCTCAAGTGTGCCTTAATAGACTAAGCAAGGAAGAATGTGCAAGAGCCATGGATTCATACAGAGCCCGTGAAATTTTAGAAGGAGAACAAGAGCCTAAAGATGATCAATACATGTTATTTGATGTAAATGCATTGTATTCTGATTCATACTCCGAAGACTCCGATTCAACAGACTCTGATGACCCTGATTACAAGCCTGACTAAGACTAAAACAGAGGACATCACAAAGAAAGTCCCAGTGAATGTAGTCTTCATCATGTTTTTCAGATGCATAGCTACTCAAACACCGATTTTAGCATTTTGCTTTGGATGTTTGAATAAACTCGCATTAGGGTTGGGAAAATATGCAGCTTTTTTACTATATTTTCCCTTATGGAGATCAAATTGCTTAAAGCTCTTGATGGTCAGCAGGTCAGTCTTTCACCAGTGTCCTCAAAGAAACCAGTTACTCCTTAATCTTCAGTCCACCAACAGTTCTCCTCACAATTTCAGTCCACGGTCTCAAAGTAACTTGGCACTTAAAGAATCAACACAGGAGAGATTTTAGCTACCGTTGTCTTCACCGAACCAAAGAACACAATCTGAAACTGTCCTTAGAGAGTCAAAGCTTCCTCATGCAGTCCAAGTGGCTTCAACCTCAACTATGCCTTCACAGATTGACCAAGGAAGAATGTGCAAGAGCCATGGATTCATACAGAGCCTGTGACAATTTAGAAGAAGAAAATTGCAGCTTTTCACCTTATTTTACCTCATCATTTACCTCACGGTAGTTAAAATGCTTAGTCTTTCACCAGTGTCCTCAAAGAAACCAGTTGCTCCACCAACAGTTCTCCTCATCTCAATCCACAGCCTCAAAACAACTTCAGTGCAGGACAGATTTTAGCCACCATTGTCTTCACCAAACCAAGCTGAACCAATGAACACAATCTGAAACTGTCCTTAGAGAGTCAAAGCTTCCTCATGAAGTCCAAGTGGCTTCAACCTCAAGTGTGTGCCTCAAAACAACTTCAGTGCAGGACAGATTTTAGCCACCATTGTCTTCACCAAACCAAGCTGAACCAATGAACACAATCTGAAACTGTCCTTAGAGAGTCAAAGCTTCCTCATGAAGTCCAAGTGGCTTCAACAGACTAAGCATATTTTAGGTATTTTAAGAGAACAAGAGCCTGAAGATTATCAATACATGTTATTTGATGTAAATACACTGTATTCGGATTTATACTCAGAAGATTCATGACCCTGATTACAAGCCTAACGGAGACTAAATCAAAAGACATTAAAAAGGTGCCAGCGAACATGGTCTGCAACATATTTTTAGATGCATAGGTACTCAAACATTGAGTTTGACCATTTACTTCGGATGTTTGAATGAACTCGCATTAGGGTTGGGAAACTATGCAGCTTTTTTACCTCATCGTTTACCTCATAAAGGTCAAAATGCTTGCCTTAAAGCTCTTGAAGGTCAATGCCAAAATATTTGTGTCCAGTATGTTATTGGTAATCTGTCATTTTAGACTCCTGTTGCCCTGAATGTCCTATGAAGTGTGAGTATATAACTCTAAAACGACATGGTTTCCAATGTGGAACACTGTTTGCTGTTGCTTTAGTGACGTGTATGGTGGGTCAGGGTTATCGCTGGGTCTCTGTATGGCGTGCTTTAGTGGATACATGTTGACATGCTTTCTGTGATTGACCTAGAAGGGTTATGTAAGGACAGACATTTTGGATTATGACGTGAGTTTTTTTTACTTAGTTTTTTGCCTACAAGGTTGTGTTGACTCTACTAAATAGCGGGTCTGAAGTGTTTTAAGGTTAGTCTTAGCCTCACTAATTCAGTGTTACGTGTGTACATGCTGGTTTCTTAAATAGGTGGTTATGCCAACAAGTACAAAAAACATGAAAGAGAGTTGTGGGTTTAAAGTTCAAGGTTATTGCTCTGTAAAACTCCTGACTTGAGTGTAAATTTGACTTGATGTTATTGCAAACTACTTTGTCATTATTGCATCACATATAGTGCACTCATTCATATACGTGCTGTCAGGTAGAAAAAAATGGCATCTAATGTCTGTAGGTGTTTTGGATAATGATGATTGTTTGAGCTTGAAAGAGTTACATATATGATCCAAGTGACAGCATCTTTTTCTAATTTATTTTTAAGCCATATGACTTTTATTAAAGCAATAGTTCACCCAAAATGAAAATTGTCATTATTTTGTCATCATTTACCTCCTGTAGTTGTCTTTTCTTACTGTGAAACAAGAATGGAAAATGTGCTTGTCACTCTTTTTTGCAGTTACACTGAATTGGGCCTGCAAATCAACTGATTTTTTAATGACTTGGTTTGATTTATCGAGCTTATGAAAAGATCTTTGAACTTGATGTCCCTTGGCCTTTAGTAGAAAACAATGCATGAACAACTTTTGATTTGAACATTTTTATGATTGTGAGAGACCCCAAGCCTTTGATTTTCCATATTTTGTATAGTTGGAAAAAGGCTTTTCACAGACTTAATCATTTTACTTGCATAATAGCAGAATGGCCAATAGTTGCAGTGTTAGCACCAATAAAACAACTCCAGCCGACGCAAAAACGTGAGCTTAACTTATGTAGGACAGATGTGGAGACCAGCCTCTTTCATTCTCATTACAGATGTGGAGAATACTGAAATACAGTGTTAAACCTAAACGGCTTCTCTCATTATAAATGTGCGCTGTAAACAGGTGCAACTAATAAAATAATAATAATAAAAATAGACTGAAGCGAGAGAATGAGACAGCAATAGTTTTGAAAGAAGGAAAGTGTCTCTAAAAACAGCTGAGCGGCATGTGCATAACTCATGTTTTGTGAGGGCAGGAGTGTTTGAGGAGGAGGATGAGGTTCAACCCTAAAACTATAGAATTTTAGATTTATGAGGTAACGGGGGAGTTTTGGACTGCCCCCAGTCTCCACCAATGGAAATATGGGCAGGGTTCAACACCCATTTGGGGGATTCTGTATAAAGCCGGTCTATGAACCGACTTAATCATTATATGCACATATTTACCTATTTATCTCATCCAACAGCCACTGGAGCGTGATTTGTTATAATAAGAAACATAATAAGGTATTTATGTTACATTGTAAGTTCTACATATTGCTTATAGCCTAAACTAGCATATGCATTCGTGTTTTCATTCATTTAGTGTCTAAAATAAATATCTTTAGCGTTTAATATCTTTAATATGTTTTGCATATTTTTAAACAATAGAAAAATACATTTCCACATTACTTTTTGTGCTACTTTTTGATATTTTAGAATATTAGATATCTTGTCTAATTTGACGAATGTTAGACAATATTAAAATTCTACAGATCTTTATTAATCTGATTATTTAGACTAGTGTTTTTCGTATGTAATGTAATTTATTTGCATTGCGGTGTTTGTCTTATGCAAGTAGGCTAAATTTCTGTTAGATAACGGACAACTTTCTTAAAGACTTTTCTTAAAAACTCTAAAAGCTTTTTTTAATATATTTGCGGGGTGTAAATCTATAGCTTATAAAGTTATTGCAGTAGGCTACATTTTCAAATGCAGGTTACTGTCATATAAGTTACTGATCCTAATGGAAAGCACAAATACTGTTGCTATGGTTTCCGCCTCGGGTCGTTTGTTCGCGCGAGTCTATATTAGTCTAGGCTACTGCAGTTTAATTAACTTTTAAAAATCCAACCCTTTGTTTTTCATGTCGGTCTAAAACAAAGACCATTAACATAAAAAAATAGTTATGCCGCTGCGTAAATATCAGTCAACATATTTTACTCTATCAATGTCATCTTTTTCATTCTCTAGACATCTCTTTCAGAAGTGCATAGACCAAGAAATGGAACTGAACGGAGCTCAGAACAATGGCATCAACGGGAACTTCATGTACGGGAACAGTGTCCATCATGTGAGTGTGCGGACTCAAGTGAGTGTGAACCCGGCCAAACTGAAGAGCCTCAGGCAGAGATGGAACGTCAGACCCTCAGAGATGTCCAAAAAAACACTCAACCCCATCCGAGCCATAGTGGACGGGATGAAACTCACTCCCAACCCCGAGAAACCCATGATTGCTCTATCCATTGGTGAGTTATGCATCAAATAACCTACTTTATATACAAAAAACTAAAACACAAAATGTTATGATCCAATATTTGTAAATTAGTTCTATATCAGCTGATGGGCTTTAATCTATTAATTAAACATTTAAAACTTTTAAACAAATGGAAAAAATGTTAGTGTATCATAGCTAGGCTATATAGCTAAAATTTACCGGCTTATTTCTTTTTATTTTATCCTTTTCTCAATCATCGTATGTAGGCTATTATTTGCAATATTCTTTTCGCTGAGCGATTAAATGTAAATGTTTGTTTTGGACTTGATTTTCCACCAGGTGACCCAACTGTGTTTGGGAACATGCCAACAGATGACACTGTTTTACAGGCAGTGAAGGAGGCCATAGACTCACACAAATACAATGGCTATGCTCCCTCAGTTGGTAAGTCTTAGGCATTCATTTTCAGCTTGATTAAAAAATGAATGCTGACATTTTAAGAGAAATTAATTGCCTCATTTGGTATACAACGATTAAATAGTCCCACCTTGCATTTGCATTCTGATAAAAAAAAAATTTGTGATTTTCTCCTCATGAAAATAATCTGTATTTTAAATAACATTGACAGGTTACCAAAAGAGCAGAGAAGCTGTTGCAAACTTCTACAGCTGTCCAGAAGCTCCACTGGAAGACAAAGTGCGTCACATCCATCATTTGTCATTTGTCATTTGTCATTTTTCATATGCTTTTATAAGTTGATGAAGAGTACTTTTTTTTTTCTTCTTAAATCTGTAGGATGTGATCTTGACCAGTGGCTGTAGCCAGGCTATAGAGTTGGCCATCAACGTGTTGTGTAACCCAGGGGACAATATCTTAGTTCCACGTCCTGGATTCTCCCTCTATAAGACGCTGGCAGTGTCTATGGGCATCCAAGTCAAGCACTACAATCTGCTGGTGAGTAAATAAATCACACTGATAGCATGAGTGTGTAAATCAAAAAGACAAAAGTCCATTACCTCAGCTTTCATGAAAATAATCTGTATTTTAAATAACATAGACAGGTTACCAAAAGAGCAGAGAAGCTGTTGCAAACTTCTACAGCTGTCCAGAAGCTCCACTGGAAGACAAAGTGCGTCACATCCATCATTTGTCATTTTTCATATGCTTTTGTAAGTTGATGAAGAGTACTTTTTTTTTTCTTCTTAAATCTGTAGGATGTGATCTTGACCAGTGGCTGTAGCCAGGCTATAGAGTTGGCCATCAACGTGTTGTGTAACCCAGGGGACAATATCTTAGTTCCACGTCCTGGATTCTCCCTCTATAAGACGCTGGCAGTGTCTATGGGCATCCAAGTCAAGCACTACAATCTGCTGGTGAGTAAATAAATCACACTGATAGCATGAGTGTGTAAATCAAAAAGACAAAAGTCCATTACCTCAGCTTAGCATGGAGTCAGAAAACAAAATACTTTCTGTTTACAATAAGGAAAAATATGGAAAGTGAGATGAGAGGGGGTGGGATGGGGCGGGTTTGGGGGCATAAAAGACTAGTGGATGGGTATGCTTTTGTAAGTTGATGAAGAGTACTTTTTTTTTTCTTCTTAAATCTGTAGGATGTGATCTTGACCAGTGGCTGTAGCCAGGCTATAGAGTTGGCCATCAACGTGTTGTGTAACCCAGGGGACAATATCTTAGTTCCACGTCCTGGATTCTCCCTCTATAAGACGCTGGCAGTGTCTATGGGCATCCAAGTCAAGCACTACAATCTGCTGGTGAGTAAATAAATCACACTGATAGCATGAGTGTGTAAATCAAAAAGACAAAGTCCATTACCTCAGCTTAGCATGGAGTCAGAAAACAAAATACTTTCTGTTTACAATAAGGAAAAATATGGAAAGTGAGATAGATGAGAGGGGGATGGGGCGGGTTTGGGGTCATAAAAGACTAGTGGATGGTTTGTGGAGTGGATAGGGAAAATTGCTGCATCATTCTTACAATGTATGGTCCACATCTGGGGTTGATAAATAGAAAGAACCATAAACACGCACATGCAAATAACAGAAAAATACAGCTCAGGTTTTAGTACAGTATAAAGATAAGTGTTATAGATCCTAACACAACTAATATAGGAATAATTTTATTTGCAGACAATATAAGGATGTCTTTTAATTGAATTTAATATAGTTTTAATCTTCCTAAGCACTTATATAATCCCTTTTTCCAGTTCTGCAGTAAGTTTCTACAATACCTCTTGACTGTATCATGCCTAAGATTAGTTTTTTTGAAATATATATTATGTTATATTTTGTTCCTTTAGCCGGAGAAGTCCTGGGAGATTGATCTTCAGCACCTGGAGAGTCTGATCGATGACAAAACAGCCTGTCTGATTGTCAACAACCCATCCAATCCGTGCGGCTCTGTGTTCTCCAGAGAACACCAGCATAAGATTCTTTCCGGTGAATGTTTACACAAATAATATATCAGGAATGTTTATCCACAGAACTTCCAGGATATTAATCTGATAATATTCTATGTGATCTAGTGGCATCAAGAAACTGTATCCCTATCCTTGCTGATGAGATCTACGGAGACATGGTGAGCTCACACTGAATACAGGAACACTTGCATTTACTATCTAAGAACTGTTTATTTTCCAAGCTCACAGTGGTCTTTCATGGAGTTCACACTCTACGCTCACCAATGACCTATGTTAAATGACTTAACTGAGTCTGGCTTACTTGCAAGACACTTTTCGACCTTTTAGAACACTCCTAAAATTAGAGGTTTTTTATTGGCACCTATGGTTCCATGAAGAACCTTTAACATCCACCGAATATTTCCATTGCACATAGTGAAGATAAGGTTCATCAGATGTTCTTCACACATAAAAAATGGTTCTTTTAAGAACTGGTCACTAAAAGTTTCTTTGAGGAACCCATAATTGCACCCCCCCCAACCCCCAACCCCCACATCAGCACTGGAGGGATTAGAGTTGTGTGTGGTGAATGGATGTTGGAAAGCATTCTGGGTTTTAGGTCATGAAGGACACTGAAGAGCAGGGGGCAATGGGTCCACAACTCTGGAAAGTAGTTGCCAAGAGAGAACTTATTTTGTTATATGGAAAATAGTGTTTTTTCAACTTAATACGGTTGGCGGTCTGAGGTGTTTGTAACCCAATAAATCAGTTGGGGTTGTAAGCCGACAGTGAGCGTTTTGAGCGCACCTCAATGACTTTGCACTTTTCATCACACGTGTTTGTGGTTAGCACATGCGTGAAGCTTGACGTATTTTGAGGCGATAGAGAAGGTAGGGAGAGGAGCGGCCCCCTCGTTTCATTGCAGGTAGAATGTTGATTGGCTGGATGGGTTTTTGAGCTCCATCTGGGACAGTATTGATAAATGTAGCCTTGATAAACAAGTTTCTCTGAAAAACATTTTTCAAAAACTTACACTCCAAACCTTTAAAAGAATATCATCCCTCTTGCATTTTATATAGATTATTATATTATGTCATATTATAAATATGTTTAAAGAAAAATATTGCTATTTACAGTGTTGTAATGAGTGGGTTGAGTGTATCTGTTGTTCTGCAGGTATTCCCGGGCTGTGATTTTCACTAAAAGTATACTTTCCTATTTTTTTGTTTAAAAGAAGTATACTAATAGCACACTTGAATAAACTTCTTTTTCGTAAGGGACATCACCGGAATGTTTCTTTTTTATTAAAAAGAATGAAGTCAAAACAAATAAAAAAAGAAAAGAATGAAACGTGTGCATGGATAAATAATTCACAATAAGGTCAATGATATGCAATTAGAAAATAAATAGGATGAATTTTCATTTCATGCTGACTTTAAACTTTGTGACTAGATTGACTCAGCACCTGTTTGATTCATTAACAAATCATTCAGACTGGATTCAAATTAAAGATCAGAATCAAAATTATTTATTTTTCTGCATTTTTATTTATACTTAAATGGTGCTTTTTGAAATGTCATGAGTGTGCGTAAATAATGTCAGAATGTTCATTTTTGGGTGAACTGTCTCTTTAAATGGCCTGATATACATTTAATCACACTTGGCACATTTGCTCATCAGGATGTCCATATTCGGAATGAGCATGTTTGCAAAAAGTGCAAAGTTGCAAGTTAGCAGAGGGTAAATGTATTTAATGCTGGCTCACCCTCAGGTAGGGATCGAGATGGAACACTTCCCAGATTTCCAGAATGATGTGGAGTTCACTGAACGGCTGGTCACTGAGCAGTCTGTGTTCTGTTTGCCCGCTACGGTGAATTATTCATCTCCCTTATCTTACCTTATACCTATTATTTGTCACAAAGTTTGCTTGCATCCATTCTGATACCTTTGTTGTTCCTTTCTGTAGGCATTTGAATATCCAAACTTCTTCCGAATTGTGGTAACCGTCCCAGAGGAGATGATGATTGAGGCATGCATTCGGATCAGAGAATTCTGTGCACGTCACTATCGACCTCGGAGCCAAGACAGCCACGAATTGGACCAGTGAAAGAAACAGACAGAGAGCGAAAGGTCAAAGGAGGAAAGGAAAGGTCAAAGAGCAAAGCAAAGTGGTGTATAAAGCTGAAGAATGAATCAAAGTGTTATAAGAGAGGACACAGTTATGTGCATTACATGTGATGTGCTTTCCCTTTCAGGAAACCCACAGTTCTATGCAAACATCATATTTATATTTTTTATATGTATTATGGCTAGTATTATATAGGGAAGGGGTGGGAGGGTAGTTTGAGGGTTATTAAATGAATATATATATTCATTATTGTAAAATATTGTAGTCTTTTTTTTTTTCCTTACACTGTAACAGACATTGTGGCAAGTTTGGGAAGCCTTGTGACCAAACCATAAAGCCATTTCATGTGTATCCTGCATGATGTGAAGTATTTATCCAATATGTGACGTTTTAGGAATGGAATATTTTGTAGTGCATCTGTTTAATTTGCATGCCCAACCACTTTGAGAGTCAAAATGACATATATGGCACGTATATGACATCTAATGTTTTTTTTTTAGAATTTTGTTTTCAATTGTTATACCTCAAAAACTATTTAAATAAAATTGTATCTCAGTATTTCTTTAAGGACCAATGTGTATTATTATTATTAGAAATAATTCCATAGAAGGGGGAGGAGGGAAGTACAGGTGGATTTCACCTCCCGAAAAAAAGGACTTCCTTTTACCAATGTTACTCTTACTTTCTCAAGATGTAAAAATCAGATACAGTAGCAAGAAAAAAACTGAATAACTGACAAAACTGCATGATTGGCAAAGAAAAAAAGTGTAGGTCTGGACTTGATTTTGTCTATTCGGTTATTGATTGGATGATCGTTAAATATTTTCCTGCCCTCACGCAGGTAAACACATCATCAGAGATGTCGTTGCAACTTGCAAGAGTCGGGGGAAGTTATTTTGATAAAGATTGCGAAGGATTAATCATTTATAATAAACACTGGGTGAAATGGTTTTCTCTGATCCTATTGGTTAAAACTGTTCCATGGGTCATTACACGAAATCTGTGCTTTTCCACTTGGAAAAATTAAAAAATAAAATAAGCTTAATCAACATTTTTAAAATATCCATGAAAACGAAGACACCTTAAAATGACAAGAAATTGTATTGTGCCATCTCAGGGTATGTCATTTATTATTTTATGACTACTTTTCTAACTCTGTTACCAACACAAGCGTTACTAGATACTATAGTTTAATTTAGAACTACACTCTGAAAAATAAAGGTGCTTTACGATGCCATAGAATAACTTTTTTTTCTAAAGGGTTCCATAAAGAACCTTTAACATCTGAAGAACCTTTCGGTTTCACGAAAGTGGCGAAAGAAGGTTCTTATTAGATTATATTATTAAGATCCTTTGACTGAATGGTTCTTTGTGGAACCAAAAATGGTTCTACTATGGCATTGCTGTGAAGAAGCTTTTAAGCACCTTTATTTTTAAGAGTATATGTGATAGTTTTCACGTGTATGAGCAGCATTTTAGTCCCTCTTTTCACTGGGATTGTTTCAGATTTTGGATTTTTAAAAATATTTTTATATTTGTCGTTCAGATGACCAAGAACATCCTAATTGTGGAGGGTGACCACGTCAATTAAGAAAATATATATATTTACAAGAGAGATATTAAAAAAGGGCTAGTTACAATGGAAAAAACCTGGAAGGCTGTATCAAATATATATTTTTTAAGTTTTAAAAGCTTTTCTGTCACTGTGCTGCTCTCTAGTGTTGGATGCATGAATTACATAATACAAAGAGGGTACCTCAAAGTCATATCTTTGGTCTTTTCATACCTTCCTATACCTTGTTAAAAGGTAATTAAAGGTCAGAGGTAAAAGTTACATTTATTTTTAACATTTTAATTTAGCTCTATCAGCTTTGAGGATATCCTGATTTGCACACACACTCAATTCTTGAGGAAGTAACACAGGGTCACATGAGCTCTAAAGGTCACATTGACAACTGTGCCAACAGCCTGTAGTTTCAGGAAACATACATATGGGAACAATAGTGTTAAATGATCTGCACCCACATACACATACGCACAGACACAGCCCTTGTCAAGTTCAATGATTAACTGCAAAGATAAAGAGAAGGCAGGTCTGCTTAGACCGCAAAGAGGAAGATTGGAGCTAGAAATACAGAGGCATAGGAAATAAAATAAGCTTAATCAACATTTTTTAAATATCCATGAAAACGAAGACACCTTAAAATGACAAGAAATTGTATTGTGCCATCTCAGGGTATGTCATTTATTATTTTATGACTACTTTTCTAACTCTGTTACCAACACAAGCGTTACTAGATACTATAGTTTAATTAGAACTACACTCTGAAAAATAAAGGTGCTTTACGATGCCATAGAAGAACTTTTTTTTCTAAAGGGTTCCATAAAGAACCTTTAACATCTGAAGAACCTTTCGGTTTCACGAAAGTGGCGAAAGAAGGTTCTTATTAGATTATATTATTAAGATCCTTTGACTGAATGGTTCTTTGTGGAACCAAAAATGGTTCTACTATGGCATTGCTGTGAAGAAGCTTTTAAGCACCTTTATTTTTAAGAGTATATGTGATAGTTTTCACGTGTATGAGCAGCATTTTAGTCCCTCTTTTCACTGGGATTGTTTCAGATTTTGGATTTTTAAAAATATTTTTATATTTGTCGTTCAGATGACCAAGAACATCCTAATTGTGGAGGGTGACCACGTCAATTAAGAAAATATATATATTTACAAGAGAGATATTAAAAAAGGGCTAGTTACAATGGAAAAAACCTGGAAGGCTGTATCAAATATATATTTTTTAAGTTTTAAAAGCTTTTCTGTCACTGTGCTGCTCTCTAGTGTTGGATGCATGAATTACATAATACAAAGAGGGTACCTCAAAGTCATATCTTTGGTCTTTTCATACCTTCCTATACCTTGTTAAAAGGTAATTAAAGGTCAGAGGTAAAAGTTACATTTATTTTTAACATTTTAATTTAGCTCTATCAGCTTTGAGGATATCCTGATTTGCACACACACTCAATTCTTGAGGAAGTAACACAGGGTCACATGAGCTCTAAAGGTCACATTGACAACTGTGCCAACAGCCTGTAGTTTCAGGAAACATACATATGGGAACAATAGTGTTAAATGATCTGCACCCACATACACATACGCACAGACACAGCCCTTGTCAAGTTCAATGATTAACTGCAAAGATAAAGAGAAGGCAGGTCTGCTTAGACCGCAAAGAGGAAGATTGGAGCTAGAAATACAGAGGCATAGGAAACGACAGGAAAGACAAGGCAATCCACTTAGCTGCTACTCATTTTACATTGCACAAATCTTTCTTACATGGAGGAGAGCGCTGGACAGCCTAGGAAGATTGAACTAAATGATGGCACATACATGCCACTACTGGGACTTGGAACATTCAAGCCAGAGGTAGCATTACATTTCTACAATAGCCACATTCTAATTTACATACATAGCCTACATATATATGGTACATTCAGAAAACTCTGGACACTTTTTAACAATAAGATTTACTTGAATAGGGATATGGGAAAGTATAGGAGCTAGTTGTCACATTGGGAAGTTATGTGGACAAAGTCTGAAGTTTCATTGCGCAAATGCTAGCAGTGATTTTGTATGCTGGTTTCAATGATTGTAATAATAAGATGCACTAATAATAGGCTATTTGATAACAGGTTTATATTGTGACAACTTGTCCCACATAGTAGCCCCAATACATGTTATAAAATTTAAATGAAAACAAAATAAAATCTACTTGAAAGTAATAAGAGAATCTGTCTCATTTATACTAAATGAATACGGATATTGTATTTTAATTGCTCTTGTTTTCCTATATCTTTTGACTCCAAGTCTTCATTTTTAAGACGCAGGACCATGTCAAGGACCGTGATCTTGTCATTTTTAGTAGTGTAATAATGTCATAATCTTAGTAATGCTTTAATGATTTACTACATGGTGAACAGTCCACTTGCCCAGATGTGAGTCAGAGGGCAGTTGAGGCAGCAATCGCTGCTGGATATCGGCATATAGACATAGCCTACAGCTACCGGGTTGAAGCAGCGGTGGGGAAGGCCATCCAGTCCATGATACTACAGCAGGGCATCATCAGACGCCAAGACATGTTCATAGTCAGTAAAGTGAGTTCAAGTTATGTTGGCGCTCTAAAATTAGGCCTAAATCAATGTGCGCTCATTTAAAGGAGCAAAACATCACGCATGCACTAATAATAGGCTATTTGATAACAGGTTTATATTGTCTTGTATATTAACTTGTCCCACATAGTAGCCCCAATACATGTTATAAAATTTAAATGAAAACAAAATAAAATCTACTTGAAAGTAATAAGAGAATCTGTCTCATTTATACTAAATGAATACGGATATTGTATTTTAATTGCTCTTGTTTTCCTATATCTTTTGACTCCAAGTCTTCATTTTTAAGACGCAGGACCATGTCAAGGACCGTGATCTTGTCATTTTTAGTAGTGTAATAATGTCATAATCTTAGTAATGCTTTAATGATTTACTACATGGTGAACAGTCCACTTGCCCAGATGTGAGTCAGAGGGCAGTTGAGGCAGCAATCGCTGCTGGATATCGGCATATAGACATAGCCTACAGCTACCGGGTTGAAGCAGCGGTGGGGAAGGCCATCCAGTCCATGATACTACAGCAGGGCATCATCAGACGCCAAGACATGTTCATAGTCAGTAAAGTGAGTTCAAGTTATGTTGGCGCTCTAAAATTAGGCCTAAATCAATGTGCGCTCATTTAAAGGAGCAAAACATCACGCAATAATGATGCTTCCCCTTTTTAGTTGTGGAGTACCCATCATGCTCCTGAAGACATTCCTGTTTGCATAAATACATCTCTGAATGACCTTCAACTTGACTACCTGGACCTATACCTAGTGCACTTTCCAGTGGGACTGAAGGTAGTAATACAAGAAGAAAAAAAAAGGATAAATAATTATTTGGAATGAAAATTATTTGAATTATACATACAATTATTTGAATATTTTTTTTATTATTTATAAATGTATATTTATATTTATTTGTATATATATATATATATATATATATTAATTATTTACAAAAGTAGATTATAAATATAAATTATTATTGTAATAATAACATTACATAAATAATATAATAGGCTATAATATAATATAACACACATTTATATAGCACACGTACATCACGGAGATGTCTATTTGACGTCTGCATTTACATCTGCAAGACGTATTTTTTAGTGTTTGTTCATCCTATCAGGTGTCAAATACACGTTTATTAGATGTCTTTAAGATGTTTATGATTTAGAATGTATGTAAAACTGACTTACAGATGTTTGTACACAGCCCTGCAAATAAGCCTGCACTGGCCCTTTACGGGCCCACTTAGGGCTAGCCTTAGGGCCCCCAGCGGGCTGCCAGCGTAGGGCCCCTGAGAATTTACTCATTGGCAAAACGTTGGCCCCTTAGC